CAGAACAAGTCTGCTCCATCGGCGATCTCCTGCAGACATCCGGCTCACTGTTTTAAGCTTACTGATGGCCACTGAGGAGGTATCCTCTTTCCAACAAAAAAGGAGTCATGAAAATCGGTGGACAAATACCTACCGGAGTTATCGCGTAACATACATACAAAAAAATAAAAAATAAATAAACATATAGTCGAATTGAGAACCTCCTCCGACATATATCGACAAGTGCCCAATGGTGACTGACGGAGCAGCAGGCTTTAAACCGCTCGGCAATTTGTAAACTTTGGGAAAAATGTGAAATTAATAACTATAGGGTTTCAGTTGACAACCAAAATTTAACAGATTCTCTATAGTAAATACTTAAAAAGAAATATCTCCATATAAAAATTATGTACATAATCTCAGTACAGAGTACTAAAAAAACCGACCTCAAAAGTACGTGGAATTACGTCTATTTGCTAAGTTTTATTGAAATATCCCCTAGTTCGCCACTATACAGGACTTGATACTGGAGATAATAAAAATAGGTTCTCACTACTCAAAGTATATTGAGAGAAAAACGCCTTGAATTGGAGAAATAGCAAAATCAACCATTAAAGTAATTGCTCCTAAATTAAAGTTAGGCGCTATTTATAAAAAGGAACCTTCATGCGCGAACGGCCACCCTTCGAGGTGGATGATTTTCTTCAAAATGAAATGGGACCACTATGGAAGTATCCCCTTTCCAACAAAAAAGAATCATGAAAATCGGTTCACAAATACCGGAGTTATCGCGTAACATACATACACATAACATAATTATTGTACCATTATAACTCACAATGTAATATCAAACCAAAATGTAAACCAAATAAATTTAAAAAAAGAAGGCGGTACTCGTGGTTGGCGGCAGCCTCTAAAGTCAGAATTGCCATGATGTTGTTACTAGTACTTATTTGGTCTGTGATATTGTCCTTCCCACCTGTAGGAGAGGAACCCCTAGAAGAAGGAGGTACGTCATTTGTGAATGTTTCTTGTTAATGTCGAAGAAAAACCTTTACGAGTCAAGAATGCGAGAGTGCAAGTCATAAAAAGTTCGCACTTGGAAAACGTCTGGAATATCCAACCTGCATTGGGTCGTCTGTACCTACAGCAGGAGACCGTGCCCAGCAGTAATAATGCTTTGTTGATGATGACAAGAACATAGTCGTTCCTCCGTCGGTCTGGAACACTCCATCCTTATGTAGTTAATATACCACCCATTCGCACTAAGCGCTTTGCTTCCTCCTTTCCGATGCGTACGGCAAAGAAATGGCACACCCTACCAATCTGTGTTTCCCGAAAAGTACCATTTGGGGCTATTGAAGGCTACAGGGAATAGGCATTTTTAGGCAAATCGTCGGTCACATCATCGCTTAACATCAGGTGAGATTGTGGCCAAGCGTGTGTCTATTATTTGTAATTTTTTTTATCACATGTCAGCGGCCACTTTTCTTGAAGCCACTTGTCATTGTAATTCCATTGAGAACTCACTAAGATTATATTGTAAATACGGTAATCATCATCATTCAGGCATACGACGCCCACTGCTGGACATAGGCCTTCCCCATCGATCTCCACAACTTCCCGCGATCTTTACCAGAACGTCGGTCCAGCTGGTGGGGGGCCTACCCACTGAGCGTCGTCCAATGCGCGCTCGCCATTGAAGAACCTTTCCGCCCCAACGGCCATCGGTTCTTTTAGCTATGTGCCCCGCCCACTGCCATTTCAGCTGAGCAATTCTTCGCGCTATGTCGGTTACCTTAGTTCACCTACGGATTTCCTAATTTCTGATTCTATCACGTAGGGAAATACCGAGGATCGCTCTCCCCATTGCCCGCTGAGTGACCTTGATGACTTATGAGGTCCATAAATAAGGTAATATTCTTCGTTCTGCAAAAATCTAGTCGCAATAGCAGTTGAATTTCAATCCACAGACATATGTGTAAAATGACGCCGCAAGTGTACCTACTTCGCATGCTCAATGTAAGAAACCCCCCACACTGGCGTATCTCGAGCATCAGCGTCATGCCAACACACGCACAGAGTCGAAACAATGCGTCCGCGCGACTTAGTGTCCCTAACTATTTTGTCGACGCAACGCCAGCAGTGAGCGACTGCTGCAATATACACCCGACTGGCGCTGTGACGTAGTCGCGTCGTGTGGACGCTGTGCGTGCGTTGGCAAGAAGTTGTCGCTCGAAAGACGCTAGCGTAGGGGGTCTCTAAACTATAACTCTTACTGCTACGCTTTAGTAGTTAAACATCAGTCGAAAAATGCCTAATTGTGCCATAAGAAACTGCAAAAACGCCACAGCTACGTTTCCTTCCAAATTAGGTATTATTACGTAATTTTGTAACCTGAATATGCATAATATATTTGAAAATCAGTTATTTTCATTTTGAATGAATTTTGGGTTTCGTATACGCAATACATTGCGGCGTTTACTTGGTGCAGTACACTTGTGATACTTCTTTAGTAGGTGATGAATATCAAACGAGCGATACTTTCGCATAATGCATTCAGTTTCATGGTACGACCGCTTCGTCATGTTTTAGTCAAATTTTACAATTAGTGATGTTCACTTGATGCAACACAGTTCCCGATTCTGATCGATTTAGGAATCAAAGGCATGATTATTTTTAAGACCCTAGAAAATGTTATGAAAAGATTCTATAAAGTTTGTTGTTTTTTTTTCAGTTCTTCGAATCACTTTTTTCTTAAAAAAAAATATATTTTACCATATTAATATTTCACATATTCTTATAATCGTCCACGTGTTCCATTTAGTCAATCGCTTTAGTGTCGAAGGAGGTTTTCCATCCCGAAATAGCGTTATTTCTCGCGGTACTTGCGGCGTCTTTTACATATATGTCTGTGATTCACTCACTACTATGGAAATTACTACGGCTTAAGCAGCAATTTAGTCTTCAAAGTAAATGCATTTTTTTACGTCAAATGATTAGAACACTACGTCATCGACGTCCCATTGACTCGCCATAGAACGATGGCTAGCAACTGACATACCACTACTATTAAGTTTATGCAGAATACAAAACGGACTAAATCCTGCCTCTGACACTATCGACAACTGACATGATTGAATATTAACAGACTTGGGGGCCAGGATTGTTTGTTTGTTTTTATGATACACGAAAACTGACAACCCTGCAAATGTAATTTTACTCCATCTTCAAAAAAAGACAGACAATAGTAAAAAGGAATGTGAGTGACTGATAAATTAGGCTCCGTTATAAACAACTAACAACTTGCATTGATGTAAGGCATGAAACTATCATCAGTGTAGCAAACTTCTTAATCCAGCCTAATATACTTTGTATTGTCGTTTAAAAAGCTCTCCTAGATACATACCTGTATGGCACCCCGACCATTTTAGTAGCAGGAGAAATCCTTTCGTCCAGGGAAGTGCTGCCACCTTACCTATTTCTGCCGGTAAGCAGTAATCTCAGCATTGCTGTGTTCCGGTTTTAAGGGGTAAGGGTGCTGGTGAAATTACAGGCACATAGGACTTGTCAACTTATGTCTCAGGGTGACTCCGATTGGCCAGCCCGAATTCGAAACAATTGACGGGTGACGTCTTATTGTTTCACTTCAAGTCGGCCAGTTTAACTTGAGCTTGGCTAAAATGGACGAAAATTGAAAAGTTACGCATTTTGATATTTAATTACCAATGAAATGTGGTTCCATTTGTTTTGTAATTAGATGTTTTGCTGTTTTTACCACACCACCGAATGGAACAGCCCCCATTGTTAGAGATATTATCTTTATTACAATAAACACAGAATATTTTTGAAGTATACGGAGACGTGCACACAGGTCAGTTGTTGGCGCTGTACTATTTCAGCTTTCTAATTTGTGATGTCAGTGTAACCGAGAGTTGATATTTAAAAGTGACATAGTGCCCATTTGTCTGATGAGTTGCCAGGGATGGATGGCCATATACTCGATGCGTGTAGCTTGCCATGAGGCGCACGACTTATTCATCCCGTCACTGAATGTTATAAAAAAAAGTTTTAATTCATTACGTGTTTCGAAGAGTGTTCATATAAAGTGTCAGGTTGATGAGGTTAACAATGAAACCACAGAAAGACATCGATTTTATTTATTAAATAATCTCCATTGATTAGTATCTGAAATGGTTAAAAAATGTGTATAAAGGCCGAGTGAAATTCTGGAAAATAATCACGTATTATCGATAATACACGAACAATACTAAACAATTTCCCTGTTTTATTTTTAATACTTTAAAAATTTTAATCTCACTCGTACTTCTTTTCCAGAGAACTAAAACACTCGTTTCACAAAATGATCCAATATACTAAATACATTTCAGTATGACCCGAAATGCACTTTCAGTTAATAGACATTAATACTAAACATACTAAACATAATCTAGGATGATCCCTGTGACAGTTCATAAAAAACTACTTAATATAACCTTGCAACGACGTGGACTAATTTACATATTTCATAAAATATTTTAATAAGCAACGTTTTTAAATGTATAAGCCTTCATTTAAGTAAATACACTAAATTAATGTAAAAATAACACGAAATCAATGTCTATTTGTAAGAAATCAGCGGAAAAGTTTGTTTTGTTCAAATTTTTATTAAAATTTGCGACGTCGTGCAAAGGTTACTTAATTACACTGCTAGAGATGAGGTGTATCGGCAAAAAGTTTTCGATAATTTAATTAATAAATGTGCGGTGCAGGTATTCGTTATTAAAGTATGTATTTTAATCATAGGCAATGAATTAACATGTTAGTGTTTTTCAAAATCTATCGACTTCACCTCATCTGTATGACAAACGTCAAATGAATACTACATTCACAGTGATCATCCTTTTTTTTTTTTTTTTTTTTTTTTTTTAGTTTACGTTTAGTATTGGAAACGGCATAAAATGCGCGCTTCATAAATAGACACAAAATAATTAAAAGTTTAAGAAAGGCATCGCGCGTTTCATAAACATTTCTTAATAATACGTTGAAACATTACTAAACCGCCACTTATTACATAATGTGAAAACCGTACATTGTTAATTTCCTTCAGAAGGTTAAATTCGTAAATGTTATTACACCGGAATCGTGCACGGTGACTATACTAATGCACAATTATTATAATATATTAAAGGCGCAGCGCAATAAGACTGCGTTAAGATCATGTAATTATATTAGAAATACGAATACGGATGTCTCGCAGCTGGATGGTTCCACGCGAAATTTTAATTGTAGTCCTCCGCCATTCTACTGGTCTGTAACGACAACATATGTACATCATGAACATTTTTAAATCACATTACCGTATCTACCAAAAAGGTTGGTACTACACAATAATTTTCATCGTAAGTGTCAAGTGTGATATGCCCTTGACACTTACGAATTGTTGACTAGACATCGAAACTTTTTTAACCTACTTCAAAAAAAGTAGGAGTAGTTCTCATATGTATGTTACGCGGTAACATACGTATAGAAAAAAGAAGCGGTTTGTGAGCCGAGGTTGATGATTTTTTTTGTTTGTTGGAAAGAGGATACCCCAATTGTAGTCCCATTTAAATTTGAAGGAAATATTCCACCTCTAAGGGTGGCAAACTAAGGGATGAATGACTTGAGGACGGATTTTTAGCACTCTGCACTGATATCATTATTTAAATATAAATAATATGATTCTCCCTCACCGCGACCATTCGCCTGTAATGTAACATTCAAGATTCGATTAGGCTGCGATTTCACCACGGATGTGCGAGGTAGCAGGGCGTGCGTGCAACTGCCTCCGAGTGCGTGCACTTTGACGCCTGCGACAAAAAGGACAAGATCCAATAAAAAAAATCATTAAAATCGATTCACAAATGCCAGAGTTATCGCGTAACACACATTCAAAAAAAATACAGTCGAATTGACAACTACCTCCGTTTTTAAAGTCGATTAAAAATGTTAAACTTTAGCGAATATAATAGCAACCTTACTCCTGCCATGGCAAATGCAGCATGTAGGGACGCTATCGCGCTTGCGGGCCTGGTCACGCTCTCGCATATCGTCGTAGTTGCGGTGGCGTGGTGGACCCGATGTATGGAAGCCGCGAGAAGGACCTGGCATATCGTAGCCGCGTGAAGGACCCGGTGTATCGAAGCCGCGTGATGGACCTGGCATATCGAAGTCGCGTGACCAACCAGCAGCTGCGGTACGGGACTTAGGCGGACCTTCCTTCATCCCGCCCTCTCTATTCCGAGAATTGGGAGGTACGCGCTTCATCGCACGTGCTCGAGCCCTTCTATTCCTGCGGCGTAATCTGCATATAGGAAAAGCAACTTAGTATCGGGACACAGTGAATAAAATCGCGCCTCTTAAAATATTTTGCTTTTAACAATTTATGTCTTAATCCCCCAACCGTCTTGTTTCAGTCTAACCTTAAAAATACAACCTAACCTTAATAATCTTAAAAATACAAATTGATAAATAAGATCTGTAAAGAATAGAATGATTAAGGAAAGTTTAAAACTCGCGAACTGGATCTTGGAACTACACACATCAAAGGCGTCCATGAATCGGCGTCATTTTTTAAATATTTGATTACCCCATTAAAATCAAGTAACAATCAAAATCTATACATATTCAATTTTTTTGGCACAGCTACAAGATACAAATTATACAAATAAAATTTACCTATAAAATTGTGAAATAGACCAAAAAAGCGATACTATTTAAAAAAATCAATTGTTGATTTTCGGTAATTGGCAAAAACGTGATCCTTAGACACTTTTTTGATGAGTGTAGATTTTCACGAGATATTTGTAGAAGAAACTATAAATAGCGAACGCTCTTGTTTAGGAACTCATTCAGAAGAAGTGTCACGATCACGTTGTAAGTCCAGGACGATCTGTCTATCACCCCTCAGTGCAATATTTTTACCGGCTGACAAACCGCCTGCCGGACGCAGACTGACAACATTTGATATATACGTGTATATGTTTGTATATGTTTGTATGTTTGTATGCTTAGCAGATGTCACTTGGCGGCTTAACCTGTCAAAGTGAAACTCGAAATGGATCCTCTGTCTATCTTTCCACTCCCCTCTACGATGACCAATGAGTCTATCGTTACTGCAAGGGGATGGTGTTGCAGACATTAACAGTGAAAGAGTGAAAACTATGCTGCACTTGGTAATATTGTTGTGATTTTCACTCAACGTCGAGTTCTAGTCCGATAATACCAGACCACGAGTCAATAGTGCGTCCATAACTCACGGTAATTTGCTGAAGTTGGAACAAAAAATACACCTGTTTTACAATAACACGCACTCTTAGCTTTTATTTAACGTTAATTTTCCAGTCCAAGCTCAAAATAGATCGGAGCGCTCCAGGATTTTGGGTCGCTAATTTCCTCAAAATCTTTCAATCACTCGATTAGTAATTTTCACTTAAATTAGGAAGCCTCAAGCCTTATATTGCCTTCTTGACTGTTCTATTTTTTAAATATTTGTTTCGAAAATAATTTACTCGTTGTACTGGAACGTGGTGCAGTGCGCCCATAGTGCACCTATTGACTAGTAATCAAACAATTGTGACTCAATTTCTTGTTAACAAGGGGTTGGCCTAAAATTCTTTGGCTTTGGCTTAAATTTGGGTTAAAATTCAAATTAGCTAATAATATAATGATAATTAACATGAACAAAACTAAATTTTTTTAAATCACATGTTATAGAGAAATCCATTACATTACAACTACTATTACAATTACTACTACTCACTTAGTCACTATTTTCGTGTGCGAGATGCATCTGTCTACTCTACACAATGTGCTATGATCGGGGAATCATGTCGCTCTGCTATTACCCTTGGGATGGGATTGGAACTACCCCGTAGTCTGCAGAGCAGCGAGGCCGTTTTCTTTCGCATGATGGCATTAAAATCATCCATATTAGCCTGCGCAAACATGCCTGACGCGCTGCAGAATCGGGGCAGCCCAAGCTACACCCTAAAGGCACTGTTGTACTGAATCCTCAGCGCGCCGAGGGTCCGCTGCGTGTGGTTGATCCACAGGGCGCACGTTTAGAACACCTGACAGTAAGCTCTAAACAATGTTAGTTTTACAGGGACACTACAGCGCTCAAATCTACGGGCCAACATATTACAGCGTACCGTCAGCATCCTGCGTTCCCTCTCAATGTCTACCTCGTCCTTAAGGTCATCAGTTACAAAATGCCCGAGATATTTGAATTGGTTAACCCACTTAAGTTTTGCTCCGTTGAGTGTAATTTTGGTTACATGAGATGGACACTTACCACCGACGGTCCTAAACACCAGAAACTTGCTTTTTTTAACGTTATACAGGAGACCATGTGAAAGGGCATAACGTTCACAAACCTGTAGTAGACGCCTAAGCGCTCCAACCGTTGGACTCAGCAGCACCATGTCGTCCGCGTAACTGATGTTATTGACGCTGATGTCATCCACGCCACAGCCGACCCTCATGCTGCTGAGCTCAACGATCAAGTCGTTAACGTATAAGTTAAAAAGCTTTGGCGAGGTCAGACTCCCCTGTCTCACTCCACACTCTAATTTGAACGAGTCTGAGAGCTTATTAGCCCACCTCACGTAGTTCACTTGATTATGATACCAGTATTGAAATATACGCAACAACTCCGCTGGCACATCTCTATCTCGAAATTTGTCCCACAACACATCATACGACACCAGGTCGAAAGTGAGATGGGTCGATAATTGGCCCTGTCAGTTACATCACCCGTTTTGTTTATCATGGGCACTACAATTGTACGCATAAGATCATCAGGAAGGTATGAGTGGCACATGCATAGAGAGAAAAACGTAGCTAGAACTCTTGACAAGTGAGGTCCGGCATGCTGCAGGTGCTCGACACTGAGGCTGTCGTGACCCGGAGACTTTCCTCTTGTCATTTTTTTGATAGCATTTAGAACTTGCTTTGACGAAAATCAAATGAGGTCGGTGTCACTACAAATACCATCGTTGATCATCCCACACGATGCCCCTATAGGTGACTCAGCTTTAAAAAGCTGAACGAACATATTTGCGATCGACAGAGGCTCACTAGCACCCCCAACAGTAACTGGCAACTCAGGCTAAACATTAAATTTATTAGTAGCCTTCCAGAACTTTTATATAATAACATTGAGTATAATAATCACTTAAAATTTCAATTTATAATTTGGTTATATTATTAACATAGTTAAATCAAATCTAAAAAAATATTATTTATATCATCTTCCGTATTTATTTAGTTTAGAAATTATTATTTGTTTAATTTATACAACATGAAAATGGCGTGAGCTGGTTATCGTATCCGCGGAATCCTCTAGGTTATAGGTTATCGCTGATTTCAGCGGTTTGCTCCTGAGTAAACACTGACGCTGAGCTACTGCCTTTTTGCACTGCTATAGCACACATACATAGCTGGGTGTTCGGCAGTGCTGCGACGCTGTTCTTTTTTTTTCTTTTTATTGTATTAAAAATTTCCTGTTATGCATATGTGTCTGTAGATCTAAATAAACGCTTTATCTATCTATCTATCTATTTCCCCGAAAATGCCCCCAGACACTAGTAACAATTCAAAATGACCATGAGACAACACCTGGTTTTGGTATTACCAAAACGTCATTGATAGTTCAATGTCGATATTTTCAAGGACTAGCTTGTTTGCGCAACTGTGTAGCAATTGACGTCCCTATATGTGAAAGAGACTCTGGCGCATAAAGTTCAGGCTAGTGTTATCGAATTTCGTGTATGTATACGTTATGACTAAGAAATGCGTTAGTAATTAGCATTTTATTTGTGTGCGTTGCCTCGTCCTCCACAAAAGTGGCAGACATTGTAGTTTTAGAAACTGGAACCCGTGGCGCCTCTGCCTGGTCAAATGCTCTAAGTATATAATTGTTGAAACTTTGATGTTTATTTTTTAAATGTTTTCATATTAATAGTGGTATCAATATGCTTTGATACCGCACGAATTTTTTGATAAATTGCAACAGTTATATGACCAATCGATCAGTTATATGACGAATCGATGCAAGTTCTCGTTCTAATGTGGTGATAACATTTTGTTGTTATTCTTGGGTGTAGCTTCCTCCGAATGCGTGTGGCAAAGTTGGGGAAACCATGTAGCATTTTATTAAAGCTTTGCCCGCTCGGGTGACAACGAGTTGGGAAATTGTTTGTCATTTTTTGGACTGTCGTATTAACTATATAATTTTCACATCTCACCTGCGTACGCGCGGTTCAGTAGATCTTACGGAGGGGCGGCTACGCGTTGTGATGGTCTCAGAGGCCCTGTGGCAGTTGCCGAGATGTTGCATCATCTCCACCCAGTTAAGCACAGGCTCCTGCAACAACAGGCGGTTGTGAACGTGTGTGACCTTTTTGACTAACCACCTCAGTGATGACCGTTAGACACTCTGAGCAAATAACGAAGTCGAATGCCGGTAGAACCAGTTTAACCAAGTGGTACAATCACAATTGTAACTTCTTCATAAATAATGAAATGAAATTATTTATTGGTAATAATGTTATACGTTCCAAGTCAGTTATCAATACCATTCAACATTTGTAAAATGGACATTATATTAATATTACATTTCAAGTTAGTCATTATGTCATTCACGATTAATTATGAAATAAACTAGTACGAAGCATTCCATTTACAATACATTATACGTCACATTTACATTATATTACATGTCACGAAAAAATAAATAAATAAAATGAGTACAATATCAACTAATCAAAGATAAATCATGGTACGATAGAAATTACATTGGGACATTTGATTTTAAGAAATAAGGGATTCTTTAAAGTCATGGAATTGTTCTTCTAGTAGCCACACACCTTCTTTAACTCAATCTTAAAACTAAACGATGAAACTGCATCATTGACTTACAAATAAATGGACGACGGGTCTAATACAAAAATCACGAAAAAAAATGTCCCAAGTCAACCTATTTAAACGTAGTGACATGTAGAGGAATATGAAAAAGCTAAAACGTTGAATTTAAATTGTAATGTCATCGCAGTACTGTCTAATTTTGCTTGCTTCGCTGTCAGTCGAACAAACGAAGGCTAAAGCGTGAATGACGCTCTGTATACGATTTTAACGCCCTATAAGTTCGGACACTTTTTAGCGCGGACCCGACGTCCATATAATTGTAAGTCAATGAACTGCATCTTTGATGTCATACGGTATGTTATTGTATACTAGCGTTCCTATTACGTAGACAGACTATTCTGACTTGGTTGATTTGGCTGGAATCTTTTTAACGATAAAGTGTGTGTTGCTGCGTAGGGCATACCTCGAGCTAATCCCATTATGCTGAAAATGTTCTAAATTGTTATGGACAAAGGTAGCTATCTGCTGTATTAGTAGGCCGGGAGGGGTCACAATTTGGTATTTTTTAAATAGTCACGCTCCGATAGGTATCAGGTACTCCCGCCATTGCACGGATCGCACGCTTTTGGAGTACGCACGATTTTCAAGAAAATCAACGACGCAAATGTAACAAAAACGCGAGCCTAGATTTTTAGGAAGTGTCATCATACCAGCAGTCAGAATACCAGCGTCGCGGGCAGCCGCGTCATTTATGCTGAGCCAGCGCCTTTTTCACTGCCATGACTTCCAAGTGTAATATTAGTAGATAAGAATATCATTATTGTTATATACATATAAGTTAATGCCTATATCATGTATCTGATGTCATGGTGGTGAATAAAGCTTTTATCTATCTATCTATCTATCTATCTATCTATCATCGACATCATATAGCCTATAGGTTATGATGTCGATGGGAAGTGTAGTCTGGGAGCGGTCGCCCCTCATCTTCCGCAATCCGCGCGCTAATAGTTAATATGAATAAAATAAGAACAGGCGGAGAAAACTTAACACAGATCTGACATCGACAAGCGCCCATGGCGGCGGAGGGGGCAGCGGCCGGCGCGGCGTTTCATTAAACTACTGGGCAATTTGCAAATTTTGGGATAAAATGTGAATTTAGTAAATAACAGGGCTTCAGTTAAAAAAATTTAACAGGTACTCTATAGTACTTAAAGAGCAATATGTCCATACAAAAATTATATAAATTGTATGAAACGTTATTTTTAATAAAATTCCATGTAGATTTTTATTTTAGCCTGTGTTCAGGATTTTAGCCGCTCACGCGATGCGCTCCTCCTACCGCAAAATGGCGGCTATTTGGTTTCGCAAATTAGAAAAGCATTCAGTTTAAATACAAGTTTTTATAAATAAAAATTATTATTCTGCATTGCTAAATAAATACCCTCTGTACTACCAACAAAAACATCTCAAATAAAATGCAGTAATACACCGCAAATCCTGCACTTAAAAAGCGCTAATGAAATTTTTGGTGTACTTGGATAAATATGATAATATTCCGTTTGAGTGGTTCTAACGTTTACCTTGAAATTACTCCTTAAAGTATAGTTTATAAACATTTATATTCATGGTAAACTTAAAAAACGCTACTTTCAATAAATAAACACCGAAATCACCAGCCCAAACAATAACACAAACGATTGTCGTGACGTATTTTTGAAGTTGTTTATTTTTTTTTTTAAATGACAGACCCAGGCATTAAAAACTTTATGGTTTGCTAGAAAGAGTAGTTACCGAAATAGCAATTAATATTAGTTCTTTTACCTGTTATAACTTCGATATCCGATAAATCGGTATAAAATCATCACCGGCACCTCTAGGTGTGGTATGCGTCTACGGCTGCATGTATCGCGTTAGCGGCTAACAGATCGACTGCACGTTCGCAGTTAATGCAAGTTTGCAAACATGCAGTAAATCTATTGTCAGCCTTACTGGGAAGGCAGGTGGTTTCACTCGCTGTGGCAGGGTATTGTTGAGTACAAATAAAATTAGTTCGCAGCAAGCGCAGTATACCTAAGTTAACCCGAACGAAAAGTAACAGTGACGGCACCGCAAGCCGAAACTAAGTACATACTAAGCTACTGCCAGGGCACCAATTTTGCTAATTTTCTTTCCATTTATAACATGATTTACTATTTTATTAAAATTTAGTTGTCATGGTAGTTGAGTCTTAGCGGAATGCCAGTGATGGCATATTCATTCACTCAATTACTAACGGTCGACCTTGCCTTATTAAAATTATAATGGAAAAATAATATTTTTCCATTATCGTATCTTAGTAGCGTATCTTAGTTTTTCTTTTCTTAATACAATAATAATAATAATAATTTGTTTGTGTCTCTTGTAAAGATTTTACAAGAGAGTGCCAGTACAAACATGTTTCGCATATATTAAATGGCATGCAAATGTGTAGTTATATAATGTCGATCAGACTACCACAACACAATAGTTAATACAAAAATGTCACAAACGTGTCAAGTTACAAATTAATTTGGTCAAGAATGATAATCTTCAAGATAAAATCTTATATCTCATTTTCTGTCAAAAATTTCGTTTAGGTCATAAAGATTATTTTTATTTAACCACTTCTACAGCTTTGTTTTAAATAAACTTAAGTGTAATGGTTTAATCTCAAGTGGTATTTTATTATATATGTCAACACACATTTTTAAACAACTTTTACTGTATTTAGCAGTCATAGGAATAGTGTCAAATACAAATCTATTCGGGTTTCTGCTGAGTCTAGTATTCCCATCACAGGCTTTCTTAAACTAATAGGTGTGTATTCATTCAAAGATACAAATGTCGTATATATGTATATAATGATAGTAGTGGCAACAGACCAAGGCTCTGAAACAAGGGTCTTTTTCATGTTTCATCCGAGGGAATTCCACAAATTGCTCTAATGCATTTCTTTTGCGCTATAAAAGCTCTGTTTCGATCTGTAGTATTACCCCATATTATAAGACCGTAACGTAATATGAATTCTATACACGCCCTGTATGTGGTTATGACAGCTTTCTTATTTGTTATATTTTTCAGCTTTTTTAAGGCATGTACAAACTTATCGATTCTCGAACATACATTATCGACGTGAGTTATCCAGATCAGTCCTTGATCTATGGTTACTCGAAGAAATTTTGTGTGGGATACTTCCTGAATTGCATCGATATTTCAATTGAAACTATATTTAGTATATCTCGATTTATTAAATTGTATATAGTTTGGTTTGTTTAAGTTAATATTCAGATTATTTGAATGTAACCAATTGATTATTTCAACAATTGTATTGTTTATGTGTAGTTCATGCTCTCTTGTTGATGTTGTTGTTCTACTACAAGTTACTGTAATAGATATGTCGTCAGCGAATAATATGCATTGATGTTTTGTTGTGTCTACAATGTCATTTATGTAGAGCAAGAACAGAATCGGTCCTATCACACTTCCCTGTGGAACTCCCTCTCACGTATTTTGATTTTAGGTACTGACTTGAATTCCAATAATTCATTATTTCTTATTTTGGAGACAACAACGCATTGTTGACGGTTTGCCAAGTATGACTTCATCCATTGCAAAATGGGTCCTCTTATGCCTGTCCTTTCCAATTTCTTAAGAAGTAAATCCGGCCGGATCGAAAGAATTTTTTCTGACTGTAAATACTTCTTCTTAAAATTTTGGAATACTTCTGATATGTATATTTATTGTTTTCCGTCTTGTTAGCATAATACTGGTATCGTAATTTACGATTAGTTTTAGAACTTTTTCGTAATCCACGACTTATCCATTTTGTCTCTTATCTTTGATATGTATTTTAATTCGAATCTTCGGAAAACATGAATTATACAGCAGGCGGTAAAATTCATGAAATTCATCAAACGCTATATTAAGATCTGGCTCTGTCAATACTGTAGACCATGAAAGTGCATTCAAATATTCTCTGAATTTTCCAATATTTTGCAAAGAAAAATCTCTTTTGTATGTAAAGAAGAATTTTAATTTTGGAGGCATATGCTGTACAGGAAAACTTAGTAATTGTGCAGTGTCATGATCGGAAAGATACAATAGCAACACAGTAGCATTTGAATCCTTTATATTACTTAAAATATGATCTATACAGGAGTGTTTGCGCGTGGGCACATTAATATGGATATTTAAGTTATGATTTTGTGCTACTTCCTGTAACTGGTTTGTTGTCCTTCCTGGTTTTAATGTATTAATATTAAAGTCACCAGAGACGACAATATTTACCTTATACTTATACTTTTTATGTACTTCATGTAATAAACAGTCTAACTTATACAAGAAAAGAGATGAATCTGAAGGAGGGTTTTTGTACGCGCATATAATAATAAGTCTGTGTATTGGGATTTCTATTCCGCATACTTCAAATAACATTTGAATTGCCATATTTTTTATGAAAACTAATTCGTTATATACTGTGCCCTGTTTTACTAAGATACCAGTTCCTCCTCTTCGTGCGTCTCTGCAAAAAGTTGCAGCCAGCCAGCCAGCCTCTATATATCTGAATTTTTAAGTAATAACTTGGTCTGAATTTAAAAATGTTTCAGATAAACATATTATTTCCGGATTTATATTTTGCTGTCGTAAATCTATTAGCGTTCATTCTAACAATGCTTGTTTAGCCAAAACACTACTAATATTTTGATGAATTATTCTAAAATGTGATGTTAGCTGTTCAGCAGTCTTATGTGCAAAAATATTCTTCTTATCTAATACTTGGAAATAGAACGGTATCGTACCCTTTTTTGCATTTTTTGTACTTTTGTCATTCTGTTGTTTTGTAGGGCTTGTATCAGAGTTAGTTTTAATGCGTGAAAAGTAGCATGATATCGTACCTTTCTTATGCCTTTTGTCACTTACTCCAGAGCGTGGTCTATTACTTGCCATCGTTTTTCTTATTTCCTTAAAGTTTAAATATTTACGATTACAATCCTCGCAGTCTATAACATAGTTGATTGATTTACAAATGTCAAATAGGGTATAGTGTTCGCATTCAACAAACCGACAATGTTTATAATTGTTGCAAAGGTTTCTAATACTAGTATTTAATTGGTAAACATTGATAAAATTATTTTTAAGAACATTCAAGAAAATTATAGTATTGTTAGGAAATTTTTCAATCAAGTCACAAAACTGAGAAATTAAACTTTTCAAGTCATAGTCATTTTCACCTACACAAATTATTAGTTTATCGTTAGTGTATCGTATGACTGCTTTGTTGAGTAAACTATATCATCGACGTGATGTCAATTCGCCATTGAAGAGCAGAACACCAAAAACTTGCAGTGACAGTTGAATAGTAGCTCGATGGCTAGACACTGATAAGCCACCACTCTTAACTTTTAGCAGAATACCAAACGTACTAAATCCTGCTAATGACACTTTATCTACACAAATAACTGTAATGATTTCTTAGAAGATTTGGAGCCCAGGTTTGTAGACGTTATCTTTGCCAAATTAAAATATGAGTACAACCATATGAATGCAGATCAAACACGCTACGCACAGAACGCCTTTTACGTAAGCTTATCAATAAAGACCGGTTTTTCAAACGCGATTCGTTTAGAGTACTAAAGGGTTTTCCATTATGGGCGGGTAGATTTTGACAGTTCATAGCGGCCATGTTGGTGATTGGTAACTAGAAATACAGACGAAATAAGGGCCATCCATCCCTGGCGACTCATCATACTTATGTGTACGTCTCCGTATATCCCAAAAATATTCTATATTTATTGTAATAAAGATAATATTTCTAACAATAGGGCGCTTTTCCTTTATTAAATATATAATTTTTCAATTTTCTTCTATTACAGCAAAGTTCAAGTTAAACTGGTATTTTTGAAGTGAAACAATTAACGACACCCGTCAATTGTCTCGAATTCGGGCTGGCCAATCGGAGCGCAGTTGTCACCATCACAAATTAAATGACATTTCGTCTCTATTTCTGGTTATATACTCGATGGCGTTGAGCAACAATGATAAAAAAAAATATCAAAATGGGTGTTCAATTATGGCAACGATGCGCGCGTATTATTAGCGTAGATTGCCTCGGATTCTTCAGAATACTCTCACGAACAGCGGCGATGGTTCACTAAACTGGTCGACACAAAAGCCACCAAACGTTGAATAGTTACTGGGAAGGACGATTACGTGAGTACGGTTCAATGGGCGCAACTTTCATCATTTGCAAATTAAACAACAGATGGCCGCTATGAACTGTCAATATCAACCCTTCATAATAGACGCACAAAAAACGGCGTCCCCTGAGTCGCGTGTGATTTATAATCTATTACATAATGAACTAAAAAAATGCTCACGAGATCTCGTCGCTGAGTCTTAACCATCTCAGCGTTTATAAAAGTGGTAATGTGTCCAAGCGCGTGGTAGGCCTTGTGCAGCTTGTGCCAGTTATGCAGACGGTGCAGAGCGTGGGCGCAACTGTGGAGATGCTGCAGCCGCGCAGCCATGAGGTTCCGAGCGCGCCGGGGCTCCGCCTCGTGAAGCACAGACCTCACCGGGCGGTACCGCAACCATCTACCATCACTACATATTAAATCATAGGCAAAACAACAGCATCCAAGGAGATTTACTTGCAGTAGATTTTAGAACTACCTGTGAAAGATTTTCATCCAGTTTAGTACCTACTGCCACCTTACCTATTTCTGCCACCAAGCAGTAATGTTGATTCCGGTTTTGAAGGGTAAGAATTCTGGTAAAATTACAGGCACATGGGACTTGTGTACTTATGTCTCAGAGTGACGGACGCAGTGGTAGCGCCCCTCAGATCTTCAAGATTTAAAGCTCTGAGTGGCACTGCAACTGCTTTAGACAGACGTGTAGTTTACCATCAGGCGCACGACTTGTTCATTCCGTCACTTAATATTATAAATCTAAAACAAAATGTGATTATACTTTTCAGCGTTACTTCTCGCAACTCAACAAACCTTCACCTCAGCAACAGTGTCTAGAATAAGCCATTTACCACAATACATAATACAATATTAAAAAGGAAGTGACTTCGATCATCAGACTACACATTTTTGTTCGAAAATCGCCTCCAGTGCAACGGAACAAGATACGTCAATGTGTAGCTTGATGTACTGGCGTGGCATAAAAAACTAAAAAGTTAACAATCTGTTACGGGAAAGTACGCGAAACCGGAGTCATCCCTCGGTTTGCCATACATAGAGGTGGTAAATTTTCTTCAAATTTAAATGGGACCAATACTGAGGTGCCCTCTATCCATTGACTTACAATTATATGGACGTCGGGTCCGCGCTAAAAAGTGTCCGCACTTGTAAGGCGCTAAAATCGTATACAGAGCGCCAAACTCCGCTTTAGTCTTCATTTGTTTGACTGACAGCGCGATACCATTACAATTTAAATTTCGAATAGGTTGACTTGGGACATTTTTTTCGTGGTTTTTGTATTAGACCCGTCGTCCATTTATTTGTAAGTCAATGCCTCTATCCAACAAAAAAAGAATCATCAACGCGTAACATACACACAAAAAAAAGTACAGTCGAATTGAGATTTTTTTTTAAGTCATTTATAAAAATTACATGTCATTTTCAGTGGAATTTGCGGAACTAACAAGATTACCAGAAAAAAAATTAGATTGTCAGTTTCTTCTGTCATCATTTTGTGCTTCTTTGAATATGCATTTATAACACAAAATTAACCCAAGAAAACATCGTATATAAAATAGCATTTGAACGAACCACTGCTCTTCGGTAGGCTCCGGGGTCACGCTCGGGGAAGGTTCCCCCGACAGCTCCGACCAGTCGGAGACAGAGCTCGACAAAATGGAAATCCTGCAAAATATTTCACATCTCATGCACCATGTCTATAAGACCATGTTACACAGAAGGACTTACTCAAATTATTTATCTATAGTAGCGCTCTTTATCAAAGCTTTCGTCCGGGGAAGTACTGCCACCTTACCTATTTCTGATGCCAAGCAGTAGTGTGAGCATTACTGCGTTCCAGATTTAAAGGGTGCTGGTGAAATTACAGGCACATGGGACTTGTTAACTTATATCTCAGGATGTCGGGCGCAGTGGCAGTGTCTCTCAGATCTTTGCGATTTTTAGTTCTGAGTGGTACTGCAACTGTTATGGACAGGCGCACGACTTGCTCGTCCCGTTATTTAGTTATTATAATATGTTAAAAATCTCTATCAGGGGCAATGGCTCAAATATTAAACAAGTCCTGTTACTTCAAAAAAGAGCAATTAGAATTATTTATGATATCCATGAGAGAAAAATCTGCAAAAAAAAAAGTTTCGTTTAACTAAAAAGTATGACAGTAATATCGCATCTGTCATGGAAGAATGGCATTTGTTACGTCAAAAATGTTTATTGCTCCATTGGATACAGAAATGTAACCCACATCCTCTCCAATTCTAATTACTCTATCGACTAATGGAACAATAAACATTTTTGACGTAACTTCACTTCTGTCATTCTTCCATGAGGGGTGAGATATCTTTATTCGTTTAGAATCGTGAACAAGAAATTCATAAAGAGAAACATAATCTAAAGCAGTTAAGAGACATATCTAGTTACATATAACTCAGACAAACAAAGACAAGACAAAAACAAAGAAAAATTAGTGATACCCAAGGTTACATCGACAAAAACCTAAAAACAGAGAAGCGTTCAAATTAAAATTATATAATAAGCTGCCAGTCTCAGTAACTCGGTTACCAGATACATAATACCTATATCAAGAACATCAAGTTGTGGTTAATTGAAATCCGCTTTATTACAAAGCAAGATTTAACGTACATGTGCTTCTGCTTTGATTCAAAAAGTTGCTTTGTATAATAAACTGTATATACATATTGTACATTTAGACTATTAAGTGACATTTTTAGATGCTAAATTATGGGTTGTTTTAAAAGATCATATTAGAGATCATATTATAATGGAACATGTTATCAAAAATTATATTTTTTTTTTATAACCAGGAAGTAGGGCTGTACTGATCGATTGCCTCAATCATAAGGACTGTTTTCTTCTAAGTAACACAGCATCCTAAAAAAAGGAAGAGCATGAAATTTAATTTGAAATTTTGTTCAGGAAAATGCGTTTTCTCTGACATTGCCGCGACAAATTACTGAGTTCAAACTTTCAACTTATTATTTTGAACATTCACCATGAAAAGATAAATAAATCAACAGGAAGCGATATTAGCAAAAACATGAGAATTTGTATACTTTAGAATGGGGCACATTTGGAGCATTTGATAACCTAGATGGAATTGTAAGTTGCAGTTAAATGTACCTAATTATTTTAATTAAATGTTAAATTTCATACTCTCTTTTTTATTTAAGATGCTACGTCATTTCGAAGAAAACAATTCTTACCTATGATTGAGGCTTTAGATCAGTACAGTAAAATTACAGATGTTTTTTTTTCCAGATTCGAAATCTTTCAATGCCGTTCCAATTGTTTTTAAAATAAAAATTAAATCTTCTTTCAGTAAAATGTTCTATCTGCGATATTTAAGGTTCTTTCCCTCCATGTGACGTAGCCGTGGGACATCCTGTATATATCTTATCTTATTATATCGTGTTTAGTGTAAGTTGTCAGCCGTCTGGACAAGGTCCCCCAGAGCGCGGCACTCGATGAGAATTATCTACCTATTATATATATTACGTAGACATTACAACTGCTCTATCTTGGGGAGGTTATTCCGTTTACAAAAAAACTTAAATTTTCGACAGTTGAGTGTATTCCTTGGTAGAACCTATAATGACATTCGGTTTTCAGAAACTCATTTTCGTGTTGATTAATTGTTACCCCATATTTTTGAACATGAAATATTGCTAAAGAAGTCCGTTATCTACCCAGAATGCTGAGAGAAGCCATTGAAATTAAAAAACATCCTAATTTCGACAGGGAAGATGGTTTCTCCGTACCACCAGTTTGAGATCCAGTATTTCCTCTAATGAAAAATCCCAATTAAAAATAAGGTGTTTAATTAATAACTATTGTAACTATAGTGAAAAAATAGGGTGGTTTGCATTAATATTAGACATAACTGGTTGAAGACTGTACGACCTCAGTTAACCGTGACCATGGGACCTGTAAAGGGCCAGAAACGTCGGTTTGTTTGAAAAAACAAATATACGCGATTTAAATCCGGAAAAATAGTTTCATTTCCTTTGTGTAACAATCTCGAAAACCTAAGAACTCGACATGAAATAATTCTCATTACACTTTAAATGTTGAATGATCAAGACAGAACAGTAATTTATCTAAGTGTATACCACAATAAACCAATGTAGAATAGGGGACCATATTGCTAGGTAGCATTTTCTTTAAAAAAAAAAAAATACATATACAAGAGCAACCAATAAAAGTATCTTCTATTATTTTATTTTAATAATCTTATAACAGTATTTACTTGCATATTTTAGTAGAAAAATTACACCGCTACATAATAAGAAAATAAACCAAAGGATAGGGGAGAAAAGACGAAAGTTAGGAGTTGCAATTCCACTGCGAAAGGGAAGCGGAAGAGCGGGAAATAGCTGAGCGAAACGGAATAACATGGGTTTGTCCCAGGAAAGAGTTTCACTCAAAAGAGGTATTTGCCTTCCATAGCGAGCGGCCTTAACGTGGCGAGCTAATCGGGAAAAGAGATGGGTCTGGTGAGCGAGTACTTTGACTTCCATAGCGGAGTGAGCTATAGGCGACGGAAAAGTAAAAAAAAACAATTTTAATATTTTAAGACGTAAACGTTCTATCGCGTTTTCTGTATCCTAATTAACCCTATCATTTATTCATAATTATTCATTTCTGAATAAATTAAGGGAATAATGTATTCTAGGAAAGTTGTAGTTTTAATAGTTGTATGGCCTACAATTATTTCTCTCGAGAGTTTGGGTGTAATTTGTGGTTGTCTATGTGTGTGTCCATGGCACCCGCGACACAGGGTTTCCCTAGTGCGGGGCTATGTTGAGTGTGTGCGTTATTTGAGTGTGTGCGTTATTTAATATATTACCCTTCTGAGCATGTTAAGTCCCTATACCTATATATTATTGCCTTTGCGGACTCCGTTCAAACACACACAGTGGATCTTAGGCTGCTAAAAGTTTGGCTTGTTGTAATCAACTTCAGGCAGCCGAGACCTCCACTGCATGAAGTTGACAACGACTTCACGCATTAACTGCATACGTAAGACGTTAACTGCAGGTGGTTATATAAAAAAATTGAAGTCGTGAAGGAAGCACAGACGCTACTTGTGTTACTAATGTTACGCCGCCAGCGCAATCGAAGCTAAAAATGAAAGCGTGCAGCGTGAATAGATCCACTATTGATGTGTGTACCCGAAATTAAGATAAGATGAAAACAGTGTTACAACTACTTTAGAATGTCGGTTGTCACTTTTGATAAGCTAAACGATATGCCACTTGATCGTCGGCGCGCGAGACATTTGATACCTGTTCAACAGAGTTGGTTTTTTTTGGTGTACTATGTGAGTGCGAATGCCGATTACGCGATTGACGACATTGCGAAGAGGGTTGCGCGAAAGCTTAAATGCGCGATAGTATTATACATATATATCCTCGTAAGAATATCAGTTACTACTTTTGACTCTCGGATTATCGTTCACATCAACGCTTGAAGTTAAAGTCTCAATTGCACGCTATCGAATTATCAACTGCATGCAATTGCAGTCTTAACTGCGTGCAGTTAAAGCGTGAAGTTGATTACACCTCTATTAGCAACGTCAACTCGCTCAGTCCGCTCCATTCACTTGTTTGCGGTGCGGTGTGGTGGAAGCACTTCTATGGATCGTATTCTAGAACTCTATTCAATGCTCAAGTCAGGATTTGAGTATGGTTTAAAGCACTCGAAATCATACTCAAGTCGCTGACATTAGGGTCGTATTTCCAGTGCTTGTGTTTCCATTGCAATCCTGACTTGAGCATCGAGTAGAGTTCTAGAATACGACCCTATGAAGCTTACCGTTGCGAGTCAAACTGAGTCCATACGGGGCCCCTCCGCTCACGCACACGAAGACGTTTGAAGGAATCACGGGGAATGCTCTTAAATTATTGAAGTAAAATTCTGAAATATGAAAGGTCTTGTTTCCTATCAAAGGAGCGAAGGGAACGCAGAATATTTTGATCAATTTCCTTGGCTTCTTTTAATTAAAGCAATTTATTTTCCGCGCCACACCCACGGCGTACATGTGTCGAGTGGAACACGAAACTCATTCCAATGATGGGTCGATATTTGTTAGTATAAAAACAATTTTAAAATAGCACAAGCAAATAAAATTGTATTTGCAACTGGATGATGGGAGTGTCTGACTAAACTCTCATTTGTTACATAATTCCCTTATCTATTTACCTATGTAACTATGAAACAAGCGGGGGGCCTCTTTCCCCCCATTCTCTTTACCCGCCTGCACTTCCTGGAACGCAGAAGCCCCGGGCTGGATCAATACAGCTCTCTGTCGTAATCTAGATTTGTTGTCTAGGTATCATTTCAATAGCATTAATGTCATGTTGTGTTTTTGTTGTATGGATGGGCAGGTTGGTAAGGGCCGATGAAGGCGAGCGTGCTATGAACCCGTCTCCATTCCCAAAGTTTTTAAGGATCTATTTTCAAGAGTCAACAATCACTTTGGAAAAAATATAACATAGTAAAATTGAGGACATGCACGGTGTGAAAACACAAAAATTTTCATGATAGAAAAAAAACACAAAATTACCTAGAAATTTTACATAAAAAACCGGTGTATTCCATATAGGATGCTGTTGGGACTGCCAAGTAGGTGTAGCGCGTCGGGCATG